TCATGCTGACTAGCTCTGAAAGATTTGAAACCAGACCCTAAACCATTTGCTCTGTTCTGCAAATGAAGCAGTTGCCCCTCTAGCATGGGTTTTTATTTATAGTAAGAATGTGGTGACTGAGGCTGGAGAGCTGGCTCAGAGGCTAAGAGCACTGGCTTTTAGAGAGGACCTGGGTTTTGTTCCCAACATCCACATGGTATCTCATAACCATCTGCAACTCCAGTTCCTAGGGAATCTGACGCCCTCTTCTGGCCTCTGTGAGCACTACACACATGTGGTGCACTTACATGCAGGCAAAACACTCATCATACACATAAAAATTTAAAACCAAATACTTGAAAAAGAATGTGGGGACTCCTTTGGGGTTCTCCTGGCAAAGAGGTCTTGATCTGTGGCCCTGGCTCTGGAGACTCTCATTGTGATTCCCCCATGCTGGTAGGAGTGGCTACAACTTAGAGGTGGCTGTGAGCCCAGCCCCAGGGATCAGGAAAACATTCCAAAGAGGCGCCTTCCAGGCTGAATGGAAATTGCTCCTGTACTGAGGGAACAGGGAGTGACTGGGTGTGGCTGGAGGGGGAGGTGTGACAGGAGGTGAGCCCAAACCGAGCAGGAAGCTGGTCTCTTAGAGTTAGGTAGTTTTCACAAGTGGCCGTGGCTTGTGTGGTCTCATGACCCTGCTCCAGTCTTGCCATCACAGTGCCACTTCTATCCTTGCCTCTTGTCCTTTCTTGCATTACAGGGTGGGGACAGTAAATGGAACAGCTACCTTGGCTCACTAGTGTATGCAGAGGAGCCTTCAGGTCTAACCTGGGATCCTGACTGTACATTCTGCCTTCGAACCTCACCCAAGGAGCCGCCACACCTCCAGGCACCAAGTCCCAGGCACATAGTGACAGATAAGACTAGGGTGAGGGTATTGTTTGGTCTCTTCCTTCCTCAGTGTCTGAGTAATAAAGGGTTCTAGACAGGAAGACCACTCCATTCACAGACACCAGCAGCAACCAAAGTCAGTGTCATTCCATTCTTCCTTGTGCTGGACACTGCATGCTTCCCAGTGTTGGATCCCTTGAGCATGTTAGATCACTTGCTTGCTCAGTCCTGGCACATGGAGCTTGCCATCTCCAGCAGCCGGTAGTCTTAACCAGGGAGCTGGCTCCAGAGCCCTGGGCACCTCCTCCCAAACCCCTTCAAACTGTCAACTAGAAGGAAACCCAGACTAGACTGCAACCATAGGAAGTGGGGCTTGAACACAGAGATTCTACCATGCATGCAAATACCTGCAAAGGCTATTCTAAGTGAAAGCCTAGAAACAGGAAGTGGCAGCCTGTAGCAAGGTCTTCCTGAATGTGAATAGTGAGAAGGAATTTCTGCAGGAAGGATGAGTTGGGGAGGAGACAGGCCAGAGGGCAAGCTCCAAGGCTGGTGCTTGGCCCAGGCAGTAGCCTCAGGAAGGCAGCAAAAGAGGGGAACAGTAGAGAGACTGTCACAATTCTCAGAATGCATAAATTCTTCCAGACCTTTTGGGAAGTCTTAGAAAGGAACAGGTAGCCTCAGCTAGAAATCTAACCGCACTAGAAATGAATAGTCAGCCTCTCCTAAGACTTTATGGGCTGGGGCTCAGTTGGTAGAATACTTGTTTGGCATGTACAAAGCCCTGGGTTACATCTTCATCACTGCATAAACCAGACATGGTGACACATGTCTGTAACCCCAGCACTCAGGAAGTGAAGACAGGAGGATCTAGAGTTGAAGATCATCTTCACTCCATAGTGAATTCAAGGCCAACCTGGGCTACATGGAAGGAAAAAAGGGATGGAGGACCAAAGGAACGAATGCCATATCCAATTACTTCATGAATGACTTCAACCCCATCACCTGCCTTTGTCCTTGGGTTTGAACTAATTGTGTTTGAACTTATTTGTGGCAGGGGAGGGCTCAGAACCACAGACTCTGATCATTTCTTAGCACTGCCAGAGTGGCTTAAACACCAGAAATGGTTGCTTCTAGTCCTTGAGACTTGAGGGCCAATGTGGGAGCAGGGCTAGTTCTTTCTGGGGAACAAGGGGAGCCCATCCCAGGCTGTCTTGCAGCCTTGGGCGGTAGCGGACATTCCTTGGTGTGTGTGTGGGTCACCCCAGCCCTGGCTCCTTTTTGTGGTAGTTTCCCTGCCCATGTCCATGTCTAATTTCCCATTTTATTCCGTGTGTATGTGGGTGGCTGGATGCACAGATGTGTGGACCAGAGTACAGCACTGACAGGTGTTGCTTGGGTTCCATTCACCTACTTTCTTTCTTTTTTTTTTTGAATCCGCCTACTTTTAAAAAAAAATATTTTTTATATGAGTGTATTGCCTGCATGTGTATAAGTACACCTGTGTCATGCAATACCTGCAAAGAGGGCATTAGATCCCCTGGAACTGGAGTTATAGATGGTTGTTAGCTGCCATGTGGGTGCTGGTCCTCTGCAAGAGCAGCCAGTGCTCCTAACCACCGAGCCATCTCTCCAACCCAGCCCCTCACCTTTTTTTAAAAGAGTATCGCTGAACTGGACCTCACCAAGCAGGCTAGGCTGGCTGGCTGGCCAGCAGGTCTCAGGGATCCTCCAGGCTCAGCCTCCCCTGCACTGAAATTACAAGCCTGTGCCACCTCACCCAGATTTTCTCATGGGGTTTGGAATTTGAACCCAGTTCCTGTGCTTGCAGGTTTGACATCTGAGCCATCTCCCCAGCACACAGATTTCCCCTTTTTATTTTTTCGGTCAGTTTGAGACCGGGTCTCCCTATAGCCCCAGCTGGACTAGAACTTACTACGTAGACCAGACTGGCCTTGAACTCACAGAGAGCCTCCTGCCTCTGCCTCCTAAGTACTGGGATTAAAGGTATGCGCCACCACACCTGGCTAGATTTCCTCTTTTTATTATTATTATTCCTCTGAATTTGGGCCCACAGTACTGACTTCTTCTTCAGTTCACCTGCAGAGGCCTGACTTCTAAAAAAAGCCACATGCATGGCTGTTGGGGGTTAGGACTCTAATGTCTTTCAGGAGACATTAGATGTGTGGACAATTTAGGCACCTTTGTCCCTTGCAGGGGAGGCCACTTCTGTAATCCTTAGTGAGAGCACCCACAAAGTACAGAGTCCTCCCTGGACCTGTGGTGAGTTCTGGAATTTGTGGGTGCCTCAGCACAAAAGCTGCCGGGTGCATTGGGGGTTGCTAGAGGCAATCCAGACATAATGGTGTACACCTGTAATCCCAGCATTTAGGAGGTGGAAACAGGAGGGTCAGGAGTTCAAAGTAAGCCACTGCTACATGGCAGGTTCAAGATCAGCCTGGGCTATATGAGATCCTGGAGAGAGGGAGAGAGAAGGATGGGGGAAGTATCTGCCTTGTGGATTGTTCTGGAATCCTATACACATATACCCCTAAATCAACAATCATATTTTATGGAGGGAAAATAGGGTCTGGATTTTAAACAAGTGACTTCAAATGTTGACTTGGAAGCATAGCTTGTTAGAAGTGGGTGGTGTTTGCAGTGCTCCTGCCTGTCCTGTGTTAGATCTCCTGAGACCCCAGGAGCCTGTCAGCGGCTCACCCTCCTTCCCCAGGTTTCTTTCTGCCTTTAACAGACTTGTTGCCTAGCCCAAGTGAGAGGCCCTATAATTAAGCCCCATCCTTTGCCTCTCTAATAACATGGGAAACTGAGAGCGTGATTCTAAGAGAAGCCAGGAGGAAACTATAATTTCAGGTCCTCCTCTTGAGCTAGTATGAACTTGGTGCATGTGAAGTTTTGCTGGCTTGGGTGTGAAAGCAATCTGTTGTCTTAGTGGTTATGTGGCAGGAGATAAATAGTGTAACGGGGTGATCTGACAATGGTTGTGAATCCAGTGTGCTTAGGGTTTGCTGCCTCCCCTTTCTGTAACGTGTGGACACTGGCACTAGGGGATGTGAGCTCAGCCAGGTCAGTCCATAAGACAGACCACTATCACAGAGCCTCACCTGCCCATTGCCTGCTGGAAATCCCACAGTGTCCTTGGCTTAGCTTGTTCTGATCCTCATGCTGACTCAGCATACTCCAATTTTTCCTGGTTTACTCACAGACACTGTCCTTCACACTGTCCTCTAGAACAAGAACAGCAAGGTCTAAGTAGTCTTCCCCTCCCAGCCTCCTCTTGGGAACCTTCCACTGTGCCACATACTGGGCAGAGCACATTATCCTCCTCCATGTATGTGTGGCCTCTCATGACCTGACCCCACCTGCCTGTTGTCACTGCCAAATCTCATATGTATATCTGTGCTCTCTCCTAAGACTTGCCGATCCTACTCCACATATCCATGACTTGTGTAGACTGAAGCAGGAAGATTATAAGTTCTAGGCCAACCTGGGCTGTACAGTAAGATTCTTGTGAGTGTGTGTGTGTGTGTGTGTGTGTGTGTGTTTGTATCAGGAGACTGAGGCTGGAATATTGTGAGCTCTAAGCCAGCCTGGGCAATATACTAAGACCGATGTGTGTGTGTGTGTGTTTCTGTGTATATGTATGTGTTTCAGTGTGCATGTATTGGCTAAGGCAGGAATATTGTGAGTAGGCCAGCCTGGGCTATATTGTAAGACTTATCTGTGTGTGTTATGTGTCTGTGTGTATCAGGAGGCTGAGGCTGGAATATTGTGAGTTCTAGGCCAAGCCTGGGCCATATAGTAAGACTCCCATGTATGTGTGTATCTGTGTCTGTGTCAGTGTCTGTGTGTATCAGGAGGCTGAGACAGGAAGATTATGAGTTCTAGGTCAGCCTTAGCTATATAGTAAGACCCTGTTGTGTGCATGCATGTGTGTGTGTGTGCACATGCACATGTGTGTGTACATACATGAGAGTCAGGAGCCTGAGGCAGGAAGTCTGTGGATTCTAGTCCAACCTGGGCTATATAGTAAGACCTTCTCCAAAGAAACACCCATGATCTCTTAACAGATTCTGAATTTTCTCTCTACTTTGTCTCTTCCCTTGCAGATTGATGCACTGAGTAAGAGAAGCAAAGAAGCCGAGGCCGCCTTCTTGAATGTGTACAAGAGGTTAATTGATGTTCCAGGTAAGCCCAGCCACAGCTGGCCTCCAGAAGACCAATTGTGTCTACTTAAGTTGTGGGTGTTACTCTTCCCAGCAGCCTAAGGAGAGTGGACCACCCAGGCAGCTTCCTCAGAAAACCAGAGTCCTGAGAACTTGAATTCTCTAGAACCTTGGCTTTGGATAAGCAGGAAAATGTAATGTATGTGTTCAGGTAATCCCAGATCACTAGTTGATGCCTTTGTGGATTTAGAAACCCGCATCTCTGCGGCTATGCTGCATGTAGGGGGCAAGATGCAGAATGGGGGCACACATGATCTGCAGAGGCCTCCTGACCATAAAGACTACCTGCAGAACCTCAGGAATGGCACTTACAGCCACCTAGTGTCCTTTACACACCCCCAGGGTCATCTAGGAACAGTGACCCCCAGACAGGTCTTTCACTGAAGTGTTAAAACTGACAGTCCCCTTTACTGTCACTGTCAATGTGGGTGGCATCTTTGAAAGAACTTCAGTTCAGATTTCAGTAATCTCTGTTAGGAGGCCCCAGTCCTTATTGTAGGATGATGGGGTGGATTTCTTAGTGCCTTGGGCACTGCCTGTTTCTTAGTCCTCAACTTTCACATAATTTAGAATCTACTAGGAGAGGCAGACATGGTCACACAGGTTCTAGAAAGTCCTGGAAAGTTACATAGATACCTTCATCTATGGACCACCTTTCCCACCCTCAGTGCATCTTTTCCCTGTTTAGTGACCATGCACACATCACCAATGTTAGACCTGCCTTGACAAAGCAAAGCAGAAACCGGTGTCCTTTGAATCTGTAGGCACATTCCTCCCAGGAAGGGACTGGTCTATAGAGCTGCATTCACTGACAGCACCCCAGAAACCACTCTAGGCTTTGCTGTTCCGTCTTGGAGCTGCACCAAACAAAAGGCAGGAAAACCACCCTGAACAGGGAATGAGGGCATCCAGAGTCTCCTGTGTGGACTAGTGATATCTTAATCAGATTGCTTTTCCTCTTTGGATTTCTGCTTTCTCATCTGTAAAATGGGATGGGGTGGAAGAATGGCCCAGGAATGGAGAACATACCTGTGTTCCATCTTTTTATTCCCTTAGTTGCTTATCAAGCTCTAAGCTCTAAATTCTGGCCTTAGGATTTTCTGTAAGAGTTTGTGTGTGACTACGGGTTTTGCAAATGCTCTGTCCATGTCCCACAAGGAGGGTTCTGTTCTATAAATGACTCATTCGGTGCTTAGCATGTACTGTTCCTCTGGTACCAGCAATTTGGTAGGCACCTCTTACATTTTCTCTATTCTTTCTTATTCTTCTTTTTTTTTTTTCTCCTTTCAGTAATAGGGTTGAACAGCCCAGTACCTTGTTCATGCTATCCACTTGCATTCTCTCAAATGTAAGGCATCTGAGAATATTCTCTCTGAACTGTGTGATGTCTACACTGACTCCAGGGATGCAGAATTCATAGAAAAAGTAGAGCCCAGGCTTGGCTAGGTAGGCCTTTCTATGTGCATTAACTGTTGTCCTTATTCCTCCTACTCAGAAGGGTTCTGCTGCATTGCACCCCAGTAGCTCCTGCCATCACAGCAGCTTCCCACAAGGGAGTGTGTTCCAGCTGAGAACTGGCGCCTGTCACATGGGTGACTTACTTGAAAGGGGGCAACTTTATTTCATGTTCCCCAAAGACTCAGGAATCTCTCGACTGCTATTTTCTAACCAAAAGCCATGTTCTGTTTGCAGAGTCAAGTCTGTCCCAGGGTTTTTCCTAAGTGAAGTTTCCCAGCTGAGTAATCACTAAACAGGTTATTGGACCCTTTATCTGCAATTATTTTCTACCTTAGTTTCCCATAGAATATAAAGAGATGGTTTTTCTTATTAAAAATCTCTTTTTCAATGAGCAGGCCTTATTCAGGTGCATATGCAAATTCTAAAGAATTTTTATCATAATGCAGATATATATATATATTTATGTTCTGCTTTTTTCTGATAAATATACCACATACATTTTTATTGAAAATTTGCACAATTATATTGATATTTGGGGAATTGGGTTTATTTGTTTCATTTATTCATGTATATGATTGTCGGTACATGCATGCCACAACATGTGTGGAGCTCAGAGGACAACTTGCCATGTGGGTCCCAGGGATCAAACTCAAGTTGTGCAAGTGCCTTTACCCATTGAGCCGTCTTCACTGGCCTGTGTTTGATTTTTGAAATAGAGTTTTACTATGTATCCCAGGCAGGCTGGTCTGAAATTCACCATGTAGTCCAAGCTAGCCCTGAACTCACTACAGTCCTTCCCAACAGCTAGGATTACAGGTATGTGCCACCTCACCCAGGTTGAGTTCAAACTGAACATGAACTACATAAGATTTAATATTTGGCAGCTGGGAATGTGGCTCAGTTGGTAGAGTTCCTGTCTCACATGTATGAAGCTTTAGGCTTCATCTGCAGTGCCACATAAAATCAGACACAGTGTGATCCTAGCACTCAGGAGGCAGTGACAGGAAGATCAAGAGTTTATGATCATTCAAGTTTGAGGCCAGCCTCTACTACATGAGACCCTATCTCAAAATAGGAAAAAGAAGAGGAGGAGAAAGATTTGATGCTTTCTATGTCAAAGTCAGCCAGAACACAACTATAATCCAAGGATATCACTTGTACCCTCCATGTGCTAGGCATGCTATAGACCAATAGATCCAATAGTTACCTAGGAAGTAAGGATGGTGCTGGGGTGCTCCACCTGGTGAGGCTGGTGGTTGCTCAGATGAAGTGATCCATGGCTGAGACTTCCAGGAAGGGCCTGGTCAACAACCCCTCATTACTGACAGCCACCTGGGGCCCTGGAGCCTTCACTGTCTGTGGGTTTCGGGCTACAGTCCAATAGAGTCCAGAAGGAATGGTGGACATACTGTATTCTACTTGCAAGAGACAGGAACTCCTGTTGTCCAAGGAAGCCAACAGGTATTTCAGCTATGTGCCCTGTGGCTCAGTGTCAAGAGCCCAGGCTGGGCAGAGCTGCCAGCCCCGGGAAGAACTAGAGCCTGAGTGAGTGGGAGCAGCCGCCACATTGTCCTGGCTCTGTCCCTCTCTGTGCTTGCTCTTGTGTCAGGGGTTGAACTCTCTGCTTGCTCTCGTTTCTTGTCTTTGGGCCCACTGGAAGGGGAGCTCCTTGTGACTGAGATTTTGTTCTTTTCCTCTGTGCCCAGCACGTGGCTCACAGAAGGCAAGACGTGGTACATGACCAAGTCAGGCAGATGACAAAAAAAGTCTCTCTAGGGTACTTTGAGTACCTTCTAGGGTACTCAAAGAGTTCTCAGCAGCAGTCAGCCCAGTGCAGTTTCATCTCTGTTCAGTTCTTAAGTCTTGGCCTGCATGGCCAGCTGTCTCCTGGACTGTCCACTGGGATAGCTAATGGCGCCTGCTCCCGTACAAGGGACCCCATTTTCTTCCTGTATCTTTGCTCCTTGTGCACCCTGGCTGCTCACCTGCAGGGTGTGTTTCTAGCCCAACTTGTCCCACACTCCACTGTTCAGGCTGATGCGTGGGGCTTCCTGCCCTGCCACCCTTCCGAATACTGTAGGCGTGCCCACACACACAGCTCAGCTCACCTCTCCTTCGGCCTGCAGATTCATTTATATAGGGGCACTGCATCCTGAAATGTCCTGCCCTGTTCTGATGCATCTTGCTCTGACCTCCCAGATCTGGGTCTTACTATGTAACACAAGTAGACTTGGAATTCACAATCTTCCTTCCTCAAACTTCTAAATACTAAGACTACAAGCATGTACTGCACACCCAGCCTCACAGTTTTTTGTTTGTTTGTTTAAATCCCTGATAGGGTCTCTTGTAGCCCAAGCTAGCTTCAAATTGATGTGTAGTTGAGGATAAACTTAAACTTCTGATCCTCCTGCCTCTACGTCCCGAGTGCTAAAATTACAGGCATGCTAGGGCATGCCTGGTTTATGCAATGCTGGGGATGAACCCAGAGCCTCATGCATGCTAGGCAAGTATTCTACCAACTGACCTCCAGCCTCAACCCTCTTACCACTATTATAACTGCAGTTGCACACTACATAACGTCACTTTAGCCAACAGGGCACCTCATATACAACAATAATGGTGCTGTAAGATACTGTCACCTAGTGATTTCCCAGCTGCTTTAAGGTCTCTCCATGGTGTGACAGAATCTAATTTCACAAATCTCAGAATGTGTCCCCATGGATACATGATTGTACTTGGTAACTCTGGGTCCTTTCTGGAAGTGACACTGAAACAGCATGGCATTGTCCCCTAACTATTTCCACCCCTGTGCCTGCCATGTAGTAAAGAGTCCCTAAATATTTACCCAATGAATGTACAAAGGGCATATCGAATCATTCTTTCAAAATGCTCTCTAAAGCCAGGGATGGGTTCAGGCCTGTAATGCCAGCCCTTGGGAGATGGAGGAGATGGGAGGATCAGGGGTTCATGGCCAGCCTCAGCTCCATAGTGAGCTCCAATCCAGGGCAGCCTGGATTACATGAAACCGTGTCTCAGAAAACTAAAGTAAACTAAAATCAATGTGCTCAATGAACTTTTCTGGTCTGGGGCTTTCATTAATCAAATTGTTCCTTGCTCCTATGATTGATACTTCCCTGGGGAGTGACCCCCACACCTACCCCCTCAGCATGATGAGTGTCACAGCATCAGTTGCACCAGGACAGAATGTCTCTCCATTGCCTTGGAACAGTTTATTAGCTCTCCGAATTTTCCTTTAGTGTTGATGTCAGTCTATAAAGATTTACATGGCTACAGAGACACACTCCTTCTGTTCAGGGTCCAGCCAGCACACGTGCTTGGGGAGTCTGGACCCTTCTGTCCAGTGGCCAGAACTTGATGACCGGCACCTGTATTTGGTTGAGCAGCTGTCCTGCCTATATCACAGCTGGCCTCTCCCTGAGACCAACCCATTTGTTGTCCCTTGTGTCCCCCATTACCACCCCTCTCTGGCCACTTTTCTTGTCA